GGGAGGGATGGTGTTTACGAGCCTGCCGTCCCGCTAGCAGAGCGCGATGCTCGCGTCCGACCACGCTGGACAGGGCGGCGCAGTCCAGCTTCCCCCGGGGCCAAGGGTGGAGCGGGCAGCGCAGCTGCCTCCGGCTCCATGGCGAGGAAAGGGACAAAGTTCCCTGATGAATCACTCCCGGGGGGCTTCACAGAGGCGACGCCGCGCCGGCGGTGCCCGAGAGGCACGTGGCAGGGATTCACCCCCACGCCGCGAGGTTTGACTCAAGCGAGCTGGGCAGGCGGCTGCTCCCCTCTTTGGAAAGGGCTAAAACTGATGCAAACTGCACCAAAGTCTCCAGCAGGGACAAGAGGTCCTCACCCAACTCATCCCCAAGCTCCTCCCCACCCAGGCTGGTGTGAAACCGGTTACCAGGAGCAGGGAACGCCCAGCCCGCAGCCCCGGCCAAGGAGCCAGGTCCAGCCAAGCCCCGTGGACTTGCAGCCCTTCCCCAAGCGCCCCGCGACTCACTTGCTGGCGAAGAAGGCGACCCAGGGGAAGCGGAGGTCGTGCGTGTCCACGAAGACGTTCTGCACGAAGAGGTTGGGGCTGCAGCTATGCTGTAGGGGGAGCGGAGACAAACAGTGAGCAAGTTCCTGCGTTGGGAGAGCCGCGGAGCAGCCAGCGGTAAACACAAGCTTTCGGAAACAAGCGGCGTTCCCGATTTGTCCGCGGGATCCAGCGTAAGCCTGCTGCAACAGGACACGCTCCCTCCCCGCCTGCACAACCCGATGAGTCACAAGATCCACCCTCGCAAAGGTAACGGTCGCTGGAGGGACGGGCCCAGCCCTCCTGCTTGCCACGGTCACGGGGCCGGAGCAGCCGCCCCATTTCACCCGGGGGCTGGGGGGGGGATCATCCTCCTAATCTGGCTCTTTTCCCACTGTTTTTTACTGTGTTTATCTCCTCTTGGGGAGGAACAGGCCCATCGAAAAGACGGGTCACCCCAAAGACATCTCTTTGCCTTCTCAGCTGCCCAAGGGACGTTCTCCTTCCGACCCCGGCGACTCACATTGAGGTAGCGGCCCAGGTTCCCTTCCAGCTTGGCGTCGATGATGTAACAGGACTCCTCTCCGTCGTAGAACTGGCGGGTGGTTCTGCGGACGGGCGCGCTCTCGCCCTTGTCGGCTGCTGCCATGTTGGTTGACTTGATGGCGATCCCGTGAGTTGATTTCAGGGCGAAGCCTCGGGTGGATTTCACCGCCACCTGCCTCTTCACGGGCCCTGCGCAAGAGAAGGACAAACTCTGCCACCTCCTCCCTCCGCCTTCCAGGAGAGGAACCCCAGAGCAGTGCTGCTGGCCCAAGGCGCCCTCCTCTTTCACCCAGGGGTTATAAACCCCTTTAGGGATGCAGCTCAGATCTAAAACAGCGCCCTGGGATGGCTCCTGGGAACCTCCTGGCTCTCTGCTCAACCCCAGACACCACCCTAAGGCTCACACTCGTTTTTTCATAGATACCCACAAATATTTAGCACTTGAGGACCGGGTTTTGCAGTCACGTCTCAAACAACGCGTGGGGAAGCTTCAGACCTCGGTCGTTCAGAGGCGCCTGGAGCAGGGCGCACCGCGCTCGCAGCTGCTACGTCCTCACCAGCCCTTCCTGGTGGATTCTGGCCAAAATTCCCTGCTGCACCTCAGTACTTTGCGCCCTCAGCCCTCGGTCCTCCCCCGGCAGCTGTCCTCACCTGACCCCGACGAGGGGTTTTTCTTGTCGTCCCCTTCCTCCTCCTCAGAGCCCGAGGAAATAGTCTGGATGTCGTCGCTGTCGTTGGTGGTGCCCTGGGCCTGCCCCGCCACCGCCTGCCCGTTCTCCCCGTCGCTGTCCGTGCTGCTCGACAGGGTCAGCACGTCCTGCAGAGGGGCGTTAACAGGTCCCGAGCGCAGCCTGGGGCAGGGGAGCATCGCTCTGTCGCTTCCAGGGCCCCCTTTTCTCCCCGGCAGTATTCTGCTCTCTCAGCACAGGACCCCTGTGCTCTAATAAACCCTTCTGAAGCGGATCACGCACGCGGACGCTGCGATGGGAGCTGGAAGGGAACAGAAGCCCCAGCTCGCAGGCCAATGTTTGAAACGGCAGCGGGGTCTTGGGGGGGCTGGGTAGTCCTGCAGCTCCCAGACTGCCGGAGGCTCGTGAGCCTGCACCCCTCGGTGCTCTGGGTTTTACAAGGAAAAGAGAAGACCCCAAAACCCAAAGACCGTGCCCCAGGATGGCTTCCTAGACCCGGCTTTGCCGAGCAATGGGTCCCTGGTGGGCTGGGTATGCGAACCAAGGTGCTCCATCCCGCTGTAACACATGGCCCAACACCACGCTGTCCTCTTTTTTTTGGGCTTTCAGAACCGTGAAAGACCCCCGCTGTCCAAAGAAAATCAGCCCCCCTCCAGGAAATCACCGCTCCGAACCACAAGCCCTGCGCTGGTGCTCAACTGGGAATGAAAGGGGCAAAGAAACAACCCGAAGGTTCAAGGATCAAACCAGCCTGGAGCGGAGGCAGAGCCAGGCCCACCCCTCCCAGCCCACGTCTGAAGCCCGAGGGGTCACCGCTTACGTCTGTGGTGGGCTGCGGGGCGAGAGAATGCCGTCTGCTCTGGAGCAGGGCGGTCTTGCTCGTCGGCCTCCGGATCCCCTCCAGTTTGGGCGGGCTGGGGTTGTAGCCGTACATCCTTCCCAAGTCGCTGAGCCTGGGCGGGAGGACAAGAGCGGGTCGCTTGCATCTCCGGGGAGCCTGGCCCCTGAGGAAGCCGAGCGCTGGAGGCGGCTGCCATCTCCGAGTGTTTAATTTGCCAGCGCGCACTGGGGCACAGCCCAAACCCTCCCAGCCTCTCCGTCTACTCTGGCCGTGGCGTTAACAGAGTCAGGGGGCAGCCCTAGAGCTGCTGCCATTCATTCAGAGCAATGCTTGGAAATAACAAGCAGAAAAAATACAGTTTAAGGAACCTTACCCGGGAATTTTGGTTGGATCCTCAGGTTCCTGCAGAGGGGAGAAGTAGAGAAGATTAAAATCTCTCCCTTTCAGAGCACTCTTCAGCCCTCCTGCGGAAATGCTCCCCAAAAGCCAGCCTGGGTGTGAGAAGCCGGCTGTCCCCACCGCTCTGTCTCCAGCTGGAGACCAGCTCCACCCCACCGCTGTCCCCAGCCCTGTCCAAACGCTCTCCACGCCACCTCAGGTACGTGGGCAGGCAGCGGCTCCCTCTCTCCAGGCTGCACCAGCGTGGGGAGCCCAGGGCAGGAGGGATGTTCAGCTCAGTTCACGCTGAGCGACTTTTGTGTGGCCTCTTGTGCCACAACTTCCCCCAGGAAGCAGAAAGGCACCTCCCTCCTCATGCAGGCCCCCAGGGCAGGGGGCAATACTCATCTCCCAGTCCCGCAGCCCGCCCTTACATCTTTCTTCAAGGCCTTTGACTCTCCGTCCGCGTCGCCCAGGGCAGAAGCGGAGGCTTTCTCTCTCTCAGCAGGGAGCTCCGTTTTGCTGGCCTTGGCTTCGCTGCCTTCGCTCATCTTGAAGGAGGAGGCGCTGTCGTTGTCCTGGAAGCCGTCGGACATGCTGTTGGAGCTCAGCCACGAGGCCACTTTGTTCTTAGAGGTCTCCTCCGACACCGGCAGCTTACAGGAGGCAGCCACCGCCGTCTCATCGTGGCCGAGCTGCCGGGTGAGCCCCGAGTCCTTGGAGGCTGTCTCCGACAGCCCGTTCTCCTTCTGGCCCCGGGTCTGCCGTCGCGTGGCGTAGCTGCGCCACACCGAGCTGGTGCCGAAGTCCTCGTCCTTGCAGAAGTTGTCATCAGAGCTGTCCTCGTTGGACTCCTCCTGCTCCTCAGTGCCTGTGTTTTCCTCCTCTTCGTCCTTGAGGTCCACCCCGCTGCTGTCAGAAGAGCACTTGGCGTCGCTCTCGTAGCCCTCCTTGAAGTTCTCCACGCTCTCAATGTGATCCAGGTTTGCAAAATATTCGTCGCCCATCTCTAAGCCCTCTTTGTCGGCAAAGTCATCCGTGAGGATTTTCCCTGGGAGTGGGGAATAGAAAGCTAAGTGTGAGTTTTCCAGGGCATGCTATTCCTACCCCATATATTTTCTTCTCCCCGAAGGCTCATTGAGGAGCAACTGGGACTGACACCGCCTTAAGCCAGGCTGGGAAAGGACAACATCTCCCCCTGACACGCGAGGCGATGAAAATCTGAAGCACGTGGCTGATCTGAAGCGGGGCCTTGCTACCATCCAGGCTTCCGACAAGGGAAGCTCTAAGCAGCAATTCAGACAGGGTGAGGGCCTTTTGCTGTGAAGGGCCAGGGGTGAGGGTGTAGCACAGAGGCAACATTAAGGGCAAGAACGCAGAGCAGCAGAGCTCAGGCAATGCCGTGGTCGGTTTCAGTTCAGAGTTAACGCAACCACGCTGCACAACTTCTGCATTTTATGGGTTTGTGCCGATGCCCCAGCGACTGGCTGGCTGTAAACAGGAAGCAGGTAGGTGTTGATTCACCCTCAGCGCTGTTGATTCACCCCAGACACGGCTGAGGGGATCCGAGCGCTTCCCTTGGCGCTGGCGTCTCCTTTAGAGTTGGGCAAGGGAGGGGCATCACTCAGGAAATCAAAGTGCCGCAAGCTCATCATCTAACTTTTCACTTTCCTGTCCCCTTAACAAGCACAGGAAGAGCTTCACACCCATTCTGCTGGGTTTTGCGTTTTGCAACAAAGCCTAAATCTCAGGCCTGACACGAGCTTGACACAACCAGACCTTTTCAAATGCTTATTCCACCCCCCCCTGCTTAACCAAAACAAAGCAGATCCATATCTGAACGCTGGCACGTGACCACGGGGGGAGAGCACTGGCTCAACAAAGGCTTTTCGTTCACAGCACCTCTTCAAAACGAAGAGGCTTCTACCGGCCTGCTCAGCAGGGTGAGGTCCTACCTGCGTAGATGCAGACAAACGAGCCTTTAGCAATGTCATCGAGGCAGCGAATGCCCCAGCCTTTGTTCTGCGTCTTGAATAGCTGCAGCCGGACTTGGAGCCCGTGTTGGACCAAGCGATTGGTGCACATGTTAATGTTGCACTTGCACCTCTTGTTGCATTCATAAACTCTGAAAGAAAGGAGGACGGTGACATCTTTCCGGAGAAAGCCCCAGCCCAAGACTTGGTGTTGTGCCAGGAATGACGCGAAGGGACCTGCAGCAGAGACTTAAAGCTCAGCAGGGTAGGGAGGGCGTAGCTGCCCGGTACTATGGCAAGGCAGAGATCCTGGGCCGCACGTTAGCGGGTGAATCAACAAAAGGGGCAGGTTTTTGGTGTGTGCACTCAGCTCTGGGAAATACTGCCCCTCTGACAGCACCGGAGGCTGAGTTTCTGGGCCTGGTGTTGGTGAGGGAAGGGGAAGACGCAGCTCTACTCACCCTGTCGGGAGGCATTCTTCCAGCCTTTTGTGTTGGTATCCTGAATTGGGGTTGATCTGCCCACCGGGGGTGCAGCCAGTCGCTTGGACTGTCAGCTGGTGACAGGCACATTTCGATCTAGAGAGAGACAGAGAGAAACCCACCGTGCCCCGGAGGTTAGCTTCATACACCGCTTCTGCGGGAAGGAAAAGAAATCGCGTCTGTCCGCACGCGTATACTTGGAGAGACGGGCACGCAGCGCTTGAGCTGGCGTCAAACCTGTGACGCACCAGCGCGGGGCGGGCTCAAAGCCTTGGGCCGTGGTCGGCGTTATCGGGTGCTGTCCCCCACCCCAGAGGCACACGAGGAGTCACCTACTTGTCTCTGCAGCCATCTTTGCAGTCGCAGCCCACGAGGAACTCCCAGCTGGTGTTGATGTAAACCCCTTTGCCGGGGATGCGCTCTTTGCTGTAGGCCACCTGCGGAGGTGGGGTGTTATCGATCTCGTTGACGCAGGACAGCGGCACGTCCTCCCTGCCCTTGGTAATGTCTGCGATGTAGTAGTAGGGCTTGTAGGGCTGGAACTTGCGATCTACCAGCACGTACGGGTCCAGGCAGAACATCTCCAGGAAAAGGAAGTCGCAGTCTGTCTCGAAAAGGTAGCGTTCGATCTCCTGCATGGTTCGCAGGCACAACCCGCACGGCGTCTTGTAGAGGACGTGGAAGCCCATCTTGCGGTTAACCCGTCGGCGGGCTGTCATCCGTCGGAAGTCGTAGAGCAGCGGGATGAGCAGGGGGTTCTTGCTGCGGTACTGGTCGCTGCGGATGGGACGGACGCGGGACAGGCAGGTGTAGCTGCAGACATGCGGCAGGTGGATTTTCGGCATTTAATTCCTATCGAAGAAGCTGCCAGTTATGCACCGGGACACCCCGCTGGCTTTGCTGCGTAGTCCCATTAGACACAAGCACCAGCGGCCCCCGGGAGCAAGGCTGGGCAGGCCCCCAAGGGAGCGTTACCCGCCCCAGAGACAC